TTTTACTTGGAGAGATGATGTTATGAATGACTGGAGTTACGCATACAGAGCTCACCCACTGGGGGTCTCTTGCTCGGAACTCTGACCGAACAGCAGGTGTCACTCGAACTGCAAGCAATCCTCGAGTCCACGGACATCATTGAACTTTATGGTGGGACCCCGTTGGTCCCATAAGCCTCCGGATCTCGCATAAACATTATATTATAATGTTAACAAAAACGTAGCTTTCGTTTCGATTTAAAGCTTTCGTGACTGCCGGGATTCATCTTCTTGGTTCTTTCGGTAAAGTCACGTAGAATGGAAATAATAAAATAAAAAAAATAAAACGTCGTGAGAATAATTTTATTATGTTTTTTATTTTTTATTTTATTATTTCCATTCTACGTGACTTTACCGAAAGAACCAAGAAGAAAAAACTTAGCTCTTTTTCACCAATGGGTTTGAAGGATGGTGGCAAGTGTTGTCTTGTTAAACTATGCCTTTAAAACTGAAAACTACTTACCTGCAGTACCTCTATTTAAATACACTATCGAAAAAATAATTTACACCGCTCTGTCAATCATCGTGTTTCTCAGTGTGGATTTGTGAACACACTTTGTAAACAGTACAAAAAGTTGTACGTTTTTACAATGCGCTGTTGATATTGTAACAAACGTTTCTACCAATGTTACTCTACAGAGTAGTAGGTCGCCGCTCCTCTTATCCGCATTGATACGAGCGGTATGTGGGGACTATGGCTTTACCGCAAAAAAGCTATCTGCACAGATGCATACGGACAAGAGAAGTATTATCAAACAGGAGGAATTAACGGTGCAACACATATCATCTGTTAAATATCTGCAGGTAATAGGATTGTCATCAATTGATCCTGGCTGCAGACATTGGTAGGTCACAAATAATAATGAAGAGAGCAGTTTCACCGTATCATGCATACAGTTATGTAGGCAGTTTGAGCAGCTTTGGATAAGACTAATGATCCTGCTCATACCCAAGCATGGAGTGCATTCAGTTGTTCAGCTCTTCTGCGCATTCGTCCTCGCTGCTGCGCTTGGACACAACACGACAACAGAATGATCTACGCCAGGCGGGTCGCGGCGTTTATGTGCGCGGTGGGACGGAGTCGCCAAAAATGCATTAATTACGATTTTGACTTCCGTTTATTCGGGACCCCGGGGTCCCGCCATAAGGTTCATATCGCGTCTTTACAAAACCTCGCCTCGAAAAATTAACCGGCAGAAAAAAGAACCATCCTGAGAAAAATTGAGACACATCAATGCTTTCCAGAGTTAATTGCATCGTGAATATGGAGTCGAGGGTCAAGTCAAAGTGTATTCCTGTTTAAGTGAGCGTTGGGAAAGGCTTGTCTTTGTTTGGTGGTCGTATGTTCGTGGTGGGAATTCCACTTCACAATGAGACGGGCTATCCACTAATGACTTACTACAGCATTTAATCGACCCCAGGCAGAGCCCAATGAAGTAGTCGTTTTCAGAAATGGCACCGATGAATATCCAAAAATAGGAATGAGTGGTAAGGAACCATTAATAAAATGATAAATAAATAACACAATGTGTATTAACAGCAAATAAAATTCGCTGTTTTTTTCTCAACCGGTTATAACCATTGTTGGATGAAGGCCTCCCAATGCCATGTTGGTCTTGGGAAGTCTTTTTTTTACCATACTTCACCACGCTGGTCGGCGCGGATTTAATTAAGCGGTTGTTCTCAACTCGTTCCCATGTTACTCGCCACTAACGTTCGTCTTGGCTGAAGTTCGAACTTGTGGGCATCTTCCTGGCACGTTGCACCACCATGTTACACCCACGGCTCCACACATCGATGTTGCGTAGCATTGCAGTTTCGACATTTTAGTCAGTATTTTTCCCGGACACCATTTGCGTATCAAGTCTGCTTTGTAAAATAAACACGGAGGAATGTACCATTCATCTTCTTTGGATCTTTCGGGAAGTAATAAAATAATATAAAATATTTTTTTTATTTTTTTATTACTTCCCTTCTACGTGACTTTACCGAAAGAACCAAAAAGATGAATCCCTGCAGTCACAAAAGCTTTAAATCGAAATGTACCATCCTTTAACAATTATAATCTAAATCGTATCTGAATACAGGAAGGATTTCAAGAAAGTACATTACTGCTCTGTAAAACAGCTTTTGGCCAACTATTAGCCTTGGACACCCATTGCGGCTGATGCTTACGATGAATATTCTAAGGTAGCCAGTGTGTATATAAAAGCTGTATATAAAACCGGATAACGGATTATAATGTGAACATGGGCTTGTGAATTAGACGCTCCTTTACATCACCGATCGCTGACGATGTTTTCCTGTCATTATTACGCCACTTAATGGTGCATAATCGTCAGTGACCTACATATTCAGTTAAACACGTAGGCTTTCGCGACCAATATAATTCATAATATATGTTTTGGGTTAGACCGCGTAAGTATAAATGTGTCGTAACCCTCCACAACCCGACACAGCCACTCAGTAAGGTAGTTGTCACGTAAACAAAACGCGCCAATTAGTTTACTATTTCAGCCCACCGGTGTGTTGGAGAGTAAGTCCACAACATTTACAATTTGAGTAGTACGACGTTTCGCTGGTAAATACATCCAGCATCATCGGGCGATCTGCCACCTGCTTGCGCTCTTAGAAAATAGCAAAACGACGGCATCACTGAACCCATCAAGTGCAGATATCAGAGGCGAGTTATTGTAATTATATAATAGATTAGTAACCATTGAATGAGTATGTGTTTCCTCTGTTAAGGGATTGTAATTGTAAGACGTCTTCTTCTTCCACGTGTTTGCACCACTCATGTGGGGTCCGCTGTTCTCTTGAACTCATCTTACAATTACTTAAGAAAACGCTTCCAGGCCGCACTAAGCTTGTATCTGTGAGAGCGGTTAGAAATATTTGTATTTCTCTCGTCTTGCTCTATTTAAGACCGGAACTTCGTGGAAGGCTTCACTATTCTGGCAAATCGCCCGATGATGCTGGATGTAATTACCAGCGAAACGTCGTACTACTCAAATTGTAAATGTTGTGGATTTACTCTCCAACACACCGGTGGGCTGAAGTAGCACACTACACTATACACTACACTATACTGGTAACTAATTGGCGCGTTTTGTTTACGTGACAAATCCCTTACTGAGTGGCTGTGTCGGGTGGTGGAGGGTTACAACACATTTATACTTACGTGATTTGACCCAAAAACCTTTATGACCCACATATTACAGTGCAGTTGGCACTTCCAGCACGTATTTTGTTTGCTGTTCTACTTAATACTCAACCTTATAATAATCATCATCAGCCATGCTCCATCCACTGTTGGCTGATGCCCCTCCTTGTATTCACCACTGGTCTGATAAGTCCAACTCTTATCGAGTAAGGTGAGAACACATTATTTTAATCGGCATTAATTACAGTGGTAATTGGTTGGCATGGCATACCCAAGTAAAAGGACATTTCATCATTAGGCAATTATATTTCTATTTCAATTACAATCGTGCTCGCATGACACGTAATTGCGTGACAAGTAAAACGCCGCTTCGTGATTCAACAAGTACGAATATTTATCCACGTTTCTAAAGTGTCTGAAATGTCGAAATTGTGAAACTGACCAGCATTGAATCTCTAACCATGCCATCTTCCCGTATGTACACACAGAATAGCCGCCTTTCGCCACTCAAGGACGTCACCACAGCGCTTGTGCCAGGCTAGGTGCACTTCGAGGCCACGTGGGAAGCGAGGAAAGCTCTAAGACAGGTCACGGGACAAAACTGTGCATTATGGCTGAACTTATATTATGGACATATACACCACCAATATACCACCGTCGCTGATTGCGCACTAATAACGCCAACACCAATACACCAAAGCACCACGCAAACAGCAGGTAAGCGTGCGAGTGGCATGGGGCGAATGACTGTGCGTGGAATGCACACGCAGAGACACGTGCAGTGGCGCATGGGATGGGATGAGATCACCCCATTGCGATACGTTGTGTTTGCACACCAAACAGGGGGATCCCAAGGTACCGCGGACGGACGACGGTCGCTCGCGAATACAGTGAAACTTTTTTTTTTAAATTTTGATTATTCGTTTTCTGTTTTGTTCGCTTTCAAATTCGACAACACACGCCCAGCCACAACTAAAGTGATTTATTATTAATTAGGTAGTTTGGCGTTTCATGTGTACTCGGGCACTTATGTTTATCTCACTATAAGCAAACTTCTCCGCTGTGTATATGGCTGTATATGTTGTCAAATTTGGTTATTTACAATTGACGTTCACTACAAAATTTGTAATCGTCATCCACAGCGTGAAGAACACGAATACACAAATACACAGCACATGTTTGATGGGTTTTACAAACATATAAATCAATAATTTGAATCCTGATTTGAAAACATACGTTTATCATGAACATTAAAAAAATCGCTAAATTGTTAAAAAAATAATTGCGTTCATGATGAAACGAGGAAGGAACATAATATTAAGAATTCATAATTTTTTTTTATAAATAAAAGTTGAATGGAAAAAGTCTAAACCACAAATGTTAATTGAAAAAATCAAATGACTTTACATACCGCAAATGTGAATACTTATTTAAAAAATGCATAACAAAATTTTCGCAAAAATAACCCAACTTTAAACTAAGCTGGCCAAGCTAATATCTAATCTATCATCAAAAACCAACGTCAAATTTCAACCGAACGTGTACCCATTTTTGTACAACCTACCACACAACAACCCCCGTCCCCCACAAAGTCCATCAACCACAAACAACCAACCACAAACACCAACAACAACACCCACCGATTCGTACACCGGGTTAGCAAAAGCCACCAAAACCCTCCCGCGTGTGTGTGCACACGCGGGAGGGCCCTCCCGCCAGCCCGTCAGCTCGCCCACTCGCACGCCCCCCTAGGGCCCCCCAAACAGCTCACACGCGCTGTGTACACTGCGCTCAGCCACTGCCCTCGCGCGTGCATTCGGCCATTTTCGCGCGCGCGCTCGCTTTCGTGTGCACGCAACTCCTCTACTTTGGCCTCCACGTTCTCGCCTCTGCGCCGGCACCGGACGAGAGAGAAACCGAGACGAGAGCGACGGAAGGGGGGGGGGAAGCCCCCCAAACGTCTCGTATGGTGGGGGGGCGACATCAAGCTGCGGACAGAGGAGGGGGGCTACGGGGCCTGACGTGCGTATGTATTGGGCTTGTGTGACCGTCTCTTCTTCTTCGCTCTCCCTCGCGCACTCTCTCTCTCTGCGAGTCTCACACACACAACCCCCCCCCCCCCGGTCTGGTGTGTGTGCGTGCGCTGGAGGTGGTATTTCGCCGCATTATTTCATTATTTATGTTGCGTTGCCGCGCTCTTTCATTATTTATATCGCTACTATTATTTCCTCGCCGGCCGCGAAGTGCTCTGTATACGAGGGGCGGCGATCACGCGCACTGCGCATGCGCGGCATGCAACTCTTGCGATCGCCGGGTGTGTGAGGCGGGGGGGGGGGTGTGACGGAGTGGGGGGGGGGGCGTAGCCGCCGCGAGGGATGTCCGCTCCTGATTGGCTATCTCGTTAATTTATTTTTAGTTGTGATTGGTGGGTGCGGCGGGGGGAGGGGCTTGCTACGCTCGTCTCGTTCGCGATTGGTTCGTTGCCTTGGTGGGCGCCGCCTACTTTTGAGGAAGCCCCGCCCTGTCCCCCCCCCCCAGCCTCGACCTCCACTGCTGTACGCGTTCAATGTCCAGTGTACGGAGACGGCTGAGCCGCATGCACGCGGATTGGCAGCGTCTGCTTAAAGCGATATGAGAGTGGAAATTACCATTGGCTTTTTACATTATGGGGACGTCATAATAATGCTTTCATATGCTTCACTCAGGGCCTGGACATATGCAGTTAAGCCAAAGATTGATTCGCCCATTTAGCTATATTTGTCAAATTCACTCGTTGTGGGTGAAGGCCTTTCCACGGTTGTTTGACCCAAACTTCACCACGATGGTGCGGATTTAAATGGTCTCAATCTCCCTTACATTTGACTCGGTAAAAGTACAGAGGTTGTTTTTGTGGACATTATTGTACAATTATACTGTAAATGCGATGCGGCGCAGATAATTACATGCGTCAGTAATCCCGTCTTTATATAAAACAATCAGCAAATCACCAACAATGTACTCAATCTCAGCAGACCTCATAAGCTTAAACAGCGTTGAGCCTGGATAGAGCTTGGGATCGGGGATCACCATCCATACAACTTGTGTAAGTAATTCTAGATTTGAAGCTTTCGTGACTGCAAGGATTCATACTCTTTGGTTTTTTCAGTAAAGTCACGTAGGTAAAAAAATAAATAATAAAAATAATAGAGATAATAGAAATAAAATAAATCACGACGTTCCGGAGGCAGCACAAGTCTCCGTCTTCAGGTGGGACCGTCACAGCTAAATTTATCAAGTGAAGAGAAATCCAAGAGACGAGCTCTTATATACTAGTGGAGGGGGGAGGGGCTTATCTGACTGTGGTAGTCAGGGAATGGACCGGTGGGGAGACGGGGTTAAAATAGAACAATTGGTGCACATCGACTCGGGATTGTGGCCGGTGTCAGCTGATAATAAACAAAAGAAAGCAGTACTAAATTTCGATTTAAAGCTTTCGTGACTGCAAGGATTCATCTTCTTGGTTCTTTCGGTAAAGTTACGTAGAATGGAAATAATAAAATAAAAAGAAGTTTTATTTTTATTATTTTATTATTTCCATTCTACGTGACTTTACCAAAAGAACCAAGAAGATGAAAGCAGTACTGTTAAACGCTGGGGATGTCAACACTCGGTAAAGTATGGAGACTAGGCTCTAAGAAAAGCTGTCTCGGGTGTGGACCAATCAACTTCAAGGACAGTGCATATCATTATCAGAGTTGTTTCTTTTTGTTTGCATTTTGACTGCTTGTGTTGTGGTTATTGCAAACATGATGCCTTGTATAAAGGTGTCAGTTTTTGTACCAGTTGAAAGGGTAAAAACCTATCACTAAAGTAGAATGGTACCTGTCAAATAAGATGGTACAAATATGCGTAGTTAAATGTTTTTTACATGGTTAATAACATCTTTCCAATGATTACTCAGTTTGTACCGATCATCACGGTTGAAGTTAAGTAGTTGTGGACAGTCCAGATCAAGACATTATTGAATAATGTGCTGCTTAAAGTAACCCCATATCTCTCGCGCACCGCCAATTAGCTACGTACGGTGCGAAAGAAGTTCAACGTAGGTGCACAACTCAATCGACTAAGAATACTGCAAGGCTACTTTATGTCTATATCTAGATTTGAAGTTTTCGTGACTTTAGGGATCCATACTCTTTGGTTCTTCACGTAGTTATAAAATATCCACTTCAGCAATTGTTTATTGCTGTGGTTGTCCCCACACCTGATGACGGATGCTTGTGTTGCGCCCGAAACGTCGTGATTTAATTTTATTTGATACCTACGTGACTTTACCGAAAGAACCAAAGAGTACTTGTGTTAATTCTAGATTTGAAGCTTTCGTGACTGCAAGGATTCATACTCTTTGGTTTTTTCGGTAAAGTCATGTAGGCAAAAAAAATAGAAATAATATATTTTTCTTTATTTTTATTATTATTTCGAAATAATAGAAATATATTTTGTATTTCTATTATTATTTCTATTATTTTTATTATTTCGACATAATAGAAATAAAACTGTTGTATTTATATTATTTCTATTATAATTTTTTTACCTACGTGACTTTACCAAAAGAACCAAAGAATAGTACTTGTGTTCTATGTTTATGTAGGGCGATGCTTATGTGCAATACTTATCGCTGGTAGGTGCGGGTTTGGTTGAATTTACCGAAGCGATTCAGACGGCACTTGCCACTGATGTCAGCCGTGGTCTGGAGTCTGAATTCAGGGTTTAGAGTCTCGTGAACTTAACCGCTTTTAAGTTGCATCCTTAGTTCATTTGTCAAAAGACGTGTACATATAGATGTCCCGATTATAAGCGTGATGGAAATGTGGTATAATCGGTATGGATTTGCTACACGGTTTATAATTTAATCACATTTTTCTGAAGCCTTTATCACTTCAATAACCGCTTTTTATTAGAATCCTGTTGCAATCGGACACATCCAGTGGGTAGAGATTAAGAGGATCAATAACAACCCCAAGGGACTTTTCGTAGCGTGATTAGTTGTGTAGTTAAGAGGCGTTAAAACTAAAATGCATGATTTGATTATAAAGCATTCGTGACTGCAGGGATTCATCTTCTTGGTTCTTTCGGTAAAGTCACGTAGAAGGGAAATAATAAAATAATGAAACATAATAAAACACACAGTGAGAATTGTATTTTGTATTATTTTATTATTTCCCTTCTACGTGACAATACCGAAAGAACCAAGAAGATAAAATGCATGATTTGATTTAAACTCGTTTATCAACCTCTAGATGAACCGTAATGCCATTTGAGCTCAAGATATTCACGTCAACTAAATATTTCCAAGTGTTCTCAAGACGTCAATCAAAGTATATCTTCACGCAAACATTAACCAGTTTTCTATTTACGTGGCTTTACAGAAAGAACCAAGAATATGAATTCCTGCACTCACGAACGTTTGAAGTCTAAAATTAACCAGTAGCTTTCGTCTCGCCAGCCATACACCGAGGCAATATGTGCCGGTTATATCCTACAAAGATGACTTTGAAGCTTCGTTAAGTTTATATAACAAAAAAACGTACACTTTCAAGTTGTACTGTATTTTGAAACGTTTTGCAATCAACGCGCTTAACCACTACCGTGGTGTTCTTAATGCTTCCCGAATAGGGTTGAAAAGCATCCTGTCTGATGATGGTAGTTGTGGGTTCTCGTCGAGATTGATCCAGGATAAAAGGACATGATTTGAGTGTAAAGCTGTATTGCTATACGAGATGTGCTATGTAGCAAATGGGACACAATAGCTGATCAGGACACGCGTTTGTTGGAAAGCATTTACAGAGTAATTGCAGGTGCATCATTTGTTTAAAATTGTATCGTTCAGGAAGCTTCGAATGTTCACCACAGCCCGGGGAACATGTAGATCTAACGCACATAGAAGACGATGAATTTTGTGTAGGTTTATTTATGACTGACGTGTGCGGATAAAGCTAAACAAAAGCCGAAAAGTGTGCGAAAAATAATAATAAATTCATTTCTAGATTTGAAGCTTTCGTGACTGCAAGGATTCATACTCTTAGGTTATTTCGATAAAGTCACGTAGGTAAAAAATAAAATAGTAATTTAGTTATTTTATTATAAAATAGTAATTTAGTTTAGAATTTAGTTATTTTATTATAAAAATAACGCAATAATGACATTTTCATTTATTATTTTAGTAGTATTCTTTCACGTAGGTTAAAATAATAAAATAATGTAGTTATTTTCATTCATTATTCTTTTTTTACCTACTTGACTTCATCGAAAGAACCTAAGAGTCATAATAAACTCAGTTTAACAAAGCGACTTTCACAGCACGGAGAGAATCATGCTTGGGGGGGTTGCATTGAGACACAGAGGGCCACGTGGAACATTCTGAATATCGTCTTGGTTCTTTCGGTAAAGTCACGTAGAACCAAGAATATGAATCCCTGTAGTCACTAAAGCTTCAAATCGAAAAATTAGGAATACCGTCTGGACTATTACGCAATTTGGTTGTTGGTGGCTATACTGTGCTGTAACGTGGCCCCAAAGGTGGCACGAACGCACGTGTGCGAGCCCGTCCACCATCCGAGGTTGAAGGCCACACACGAGAAAGATTGCTACAAGCTGAGACCTTATCCATAATAGATGGAGGGGGGGGGGGCCTTTTTTGTTAGGTTCGATTGCGTAAATGAAAGTGTCGTTAAACCCGTCACAGTCAATTAGTAGTTAAGGTTTGTCACGTAAACGGAACGAGTACAGCACACCGGTGTGTCGGAGAGCGAATCCACAACATTTACTACAATTTGAGTACCAATAATTGCAACGAGCATCATCAGGCGTTAGTCTGATTTGTGGATAAATCATGTTGTTTCGGTCTTAAATATCCAGCAGTGGATCGATCATTGCTTTGCGGGGGGAGGGGGTGTTCGATTGAACCTGGTGGGGGCGAGGACACTTTCCCGCGCTTTTACACCAATCAGAGCCCGAGGCTTGAGGTAGTCCTCGCGGTGATTGCGCAACGCGGCGAAGCTACGGTAAGCGGCGACGTTCAAAACAACATCGACTCAACTAAATAAAACGCGTTTTTGTAATGCGATATTAAAAAAAAACGCGGTTAATTTTTTCTATTCTTTTACAGTCATTGCTGTGCGAGAACACGTACGCGAAACGTATCTGTTATATACTTGCAAGAGTGTTAATAGTTAAGGCGCTTTCTAATAAAGTCAGGGGACGGCGCGGCACATGGGGGGGAGCGCTTCGCAAACACGATTCTAGAAAATATCCACATTCGCCTATAATGATAAACAAAACTTATGCATCATTTGCTTGTGCTGTTGTTTCCCCACCCCCTTAAACCCTTAAACGTTTTGTGCAATAGGCTGGTTTGTGTTTTTGAAACTGTGAGGTAAAATGTGGCGTTAAGAGGGACGTGAGGCGACAGTGACATCAGATTACTGACAACTCGCCTGTCAATCAATCGGCGAGGAACCCGCCCGCGATTCATGAGTACGGTACAACAATAAATACAAAATAATATAAATAATAATAGAAATAAAAGAATATTTCTATTATTTCTAATATTTTATAAATAAATAATAAAAGTAAATACTAAACAATACTAGAAATAATAGAAATTAAATAATTATAATTTCTATTATTATTTATAATATTTTATAAATAAGTAATAAAAAATTACAAATACGCAATAATATAAATAATAATAGAAGTAAAATAATAATTATTTCTATTATTATTTCTAATATTTTATAAATAAGTAAAAAATAATAGAAATAAAATAATAATTTTTTCTATTTTTTTTAAATGTTTTTTTTTTACCTATGTGACTTTACCGAAAAAACCTAAGAGTATGAATCCTTGCAGTCACGAAAGCTTCAAATCTAGAATTACGATACAACAATCCCGACTTAATGTGGTTGTACGGCGTCCTTCATGCGTCGAGTACGCCAGTAACTCGTTGTTTGAATTTAACGGTGATGCCCAGCGGATTGTCCAATGTTAACATGCCACATGTTAGCAATGCACACACCACAAGCACTTTTTTAAAACAGAATTGGCCAAATGTGCCAATGCAGAACCCACCTGCAAATTTAGTGTTTTGAGACTCAAGGAGGCTTTCTTAGATATTTAAGGACAATTGTCCTGTATATTAGAAATTACCTGTGTGACATTAATTTTACACATACGTAAACTGTTATGATACGCTGCTTAAACATGCTTTCACATGTGGTAAGGTTAAAGTGATTTTGGATTTTTTTGACCACGGCCCACTGTTGCATTTAAGGCCCATGTGAGCACTTGTTGCGCTCGTGTTGATGAATCAAACATAAATTGGAACACCAGATTAAAGTCAATTATCAGGTGGTGAGATGCAGTGTGGGTTACTCCCACCACTCACAATATGCCTGGTTGGCGTGGAATATCCTCAAGAGAGGCTTTCTAAAGCTCCCCCTAGTGGAGGCCCGTTTGCCAGCAGTGGTGTGAGCAAGCAGTGCAGGGCTCTCATTCGCCCATTAATAAAGGGAGACACCTCGTGAATTGACATGCATACGTTGCCCATTAAAATATAACAAACATTATGTGACTTTTCCCTCGTCACCCTGTGCCCCCCTTGGCAGGGCGAGGAGGAAACGATGTCTTTCAGTGCAACCATTGTGTTCACTCCGCCCGGTGGAGGTGGCACATCCATGTTCAACGCCACGCAGTCCGTGACGCCGTCCTCCTCTGCCGCCGGGGCTCTTGGCGGCGACCGCACGCCGCTGACGGGCCCGTCTGTGGCAGACGTGTCGGCGGGCGCGCAACAGCAGCAGCAGCAACAGCACTCGGCCCCTGTGCCCGTGAGAGGCCAGGGTGTCCTGCCGTCGAACCCCGAGCACCTGCTTCACCTCATCTACCAGCGAGTGGACCGCGCCGTGTCGCTGGCCGAGGCAGCCGCACTCGCGCAGCGGGCCAATGCGCGAGCCCTGCAGGCGGTGCAGGCGGAGCTGCGCGCACTCAAGCAGCAGGCGTACGGCGGTGCGGCGACGCACGATGCGTACTCCAATGGGGCCGACTACCGGGACGCAAGTACGGCGCGCTGTCTCTCTACACCTCCCCGGGCTTTCGATGTGACGCCATAGAAGATTGCGCGCTTGCCACCTGATCACAATTATATGAAAACTTGGATGTAATTTTCCTGATCATGACGTCTTGAATTTGCGACATGACTGCAGCCACTTGACCCAATACCACCTATCCTACCCACCTGACTTCTATGCGATAAGTCATGTGACCTAAATCACCTTACCCAATCGCATTATTCAAACCTGCTCAACTTAACCACATGACTCGTGCCACTTGATTCATTTTACCTGATTCCAACAACGTGACTTAAATCACCTGACTCGACCGACCTTGCTCATTCCACTTGATCCTGTCGGTAAAGTCACGTAGGTAAAACAATTAAATTAATAAAAGTAAAATAAAACAAAATGAAAAAAATCACGACGTTTCGGAAGCAACACAAGCCTCCGTCTTCAGGTGGAACCGTCACAGCCACGACAGCTGAAGACGGAGGCTTGTGTTGCTTCCGAAACGTCGTGATTTTTTTGTTTTGTTTTATTTTACTTTTATTTATTTACATTTTTTACCTACGTGACTTTACCGAAAAAACCTAAGAATATGAATCCTTGCAGTCACGAATGCTTCAAATCTAGAACTGTTGATTGATATGAGTCCCACTAGCTGTTGAGTAAATAAATTAATTGTTCATAATCTCACCATTGGATCAGAAAATCTATCAAGAGTGGAAATAAAAATGTATTAATATTTCATAATTTTAAAGTTCAACCGATCAATTCACTGTTTTACTAAAATTGATATCGTGACAGATATTTGAATGAAGTTATACTGTCCATAGATCAGCCAGCTATGGAACCAAACAACCAGTGATTGAGTCTAGTTTTCATGATTGAAATCAGTCACTGATTTAACTGCTGCGACACAAATAACACAAAAAGTGGGTTTTTCTGCAAAAAATATGTAACCATGAGCATCGGTTCACATTGTTGAAGGTTATACAATAATTTCTGGGTCGAGGGCAGTGTCAGGGCAGTGATACGGCAATAATCATGATTCTTTAGATCGGCACCAATATTTCAAACTCTGTATATAGGGATTACGTAATTGTATGATGTGCATAGTTAACAATACGGTTGACATTGAACATGGCGTACAAACTTCTAGACTAGTGGCAAAATTGGGCTGCAGTGTGTATACATACTCTCTCTTAGGCTTGTAAGGTATGGTGAGTTGTTCCAAAATGCTTTGCAAACAACCAATTTTTCATCCTTAGTATGTTATTTATCCATGCTCTTAATCACTTACAATTGAATAAGGAATGCAAGCAGAGTCCAATGTTGGCTGTGTAAAAGATGGCTATGTAATTTAGCTCACACTTGTGACTTAAATGATGGCTTTGCTTCTTAAAAAAGTAATGCAAAATACTTACTAGAAAGGAATTGGCCAAACATTTAAATGCAGGACATTTCTGAACCTGAATTATGAAACTAAATAGCCATGGATGGACTATATATACATGATTTGGAGGCAGTGTTAGTGGATCGCACCTATTTCGTGATTTACTGAGCCTCCAAAATCGCTAGCTCTGAGGTGGCCAAGAGATATACATACATATACTGTATAGGGCTTGTGACCCATTTATGGTCTTGTGTTATATTCTCATATTTGTGTATTTTCTGAGTACTTTGATTCTTTCCACATGCTTCATATAAATTGTCCAAATATTTCAATGCAAGCCTTTCCTGGATAAGTATATATGTTTTTTTTTTAAATATCCTTTTAAAGTTTCCCTGGCTACATAAAGGCCATTGTACTTAAGCTAAAACATTGAAGCTGATTCGAGTATGTAACGCTGTTTGCACAGTTGCATGATTTTAGTTGGCGGTGGGCGGTTCAGTGCTGTGGTCAATATATGTCATCCGTTGTTTCATGACCCCACCTTTATCACGGTGACTTACACTGGCAGTGTCCCCCCAGGACCAGAGATTGGAATGCTTCTTTCAAACCCCCAGTCCACATTTCAACGCGGTGCCTACCCACCAGCCCTTCTCGTTTTATTCAAACGCAAGCCATCCTCCATCACCCCAGAACCTCCCATGATACACATAACTCTCACAGTGTTCATCGGTTTTCCCGAGTCTTGGAGCAGCACCCAACACCACCCCCCCAACGAATAAAAATTCATCTTCCTGCTCCTGCTGTTATTTATTATTCCCCAGGTGCATTACTGACTTCTGGACTTGGCAAGAGAGTAGCTGTTATGGCTCTTCTTTGAAATTCGCCTTGGCCAAGGAATCCATCATTGATTTTAGCGCAAACTCTTGCCCTAGCATTCGCCCCTCTATTTTTACCTTCACTCGTGCAATTACTACTATTCAACCCCTAACACTGGTTGGGTATTGCTGTGGCAAATGCACTCGATTTACAATCTGAAAGTTGTGAGTTCATATTCTTTCACATTTGAAGGGGTCAGATGATCAACTGTGTAGGAAATCATCAGTGGTTGTCCTGTGGAGAGATTGGTCCCCACAATAGGAACGTACAAATGAATCTACTGGCTTAGGGCTGCCAGCACAGGTTGGGAGAACCTTCCAAGTTCATTTGAGTGAAGAGATGCTTGACTCTGACTTAATATTAGGGTTAGGGAATGTGTTCCAATTGTTATTGGAAAAAGTTTATTGTGACAGAGAAGCGTAATTTATGCTGTGGTTGACAACATAAATTATGTAATAAAATTGTTATTTGTGTCTTCAGCAAAGATTCACTGCCAGCATACATTTTAGGAATACATATCGTAAAAACGTCTCTACAATTAAATGGCTAACCAACATAAACACAGTATCAGAGTAGAGCAGATGCTGCTTTAATAGTCCACCGAATAAGAGTATTATTAGCATCAGTTTTTTTATATTAAAACATCTCTCTTCTTTAATCTCATGTCCAGCCTCTTTACGGACGCCACTGGGTCCCCGAACTTTCCGCAGAAGTTTTCCACTGTTGCCAATTGTCATCATATCCCATCTGTTGCTGATGTTTCTGTGTTATTCCCTGTCCACTCTTAATGCCTCCTCCTCATCCGTTCCATCAGTAATGTTTTCAGTCGTACTATGTTTCTCTTACCGTCCACTAGCATTGCCATTCCTCTCGCTGGATTCCCGTTTATTGTCATGCTTCGGTCATCTTGAATATGTCAAAATTAAATATCCCCTTATAAACGTGATTCACGTTTTAATGGGAACGAAGAGATGAAGCTACAACTTGGCGCTTAATAATTCATGATATTAAGCACTAATGCTATGCACACACTTGCGGTGTCTGATAATAGTGTGATCATATGGTGTGATATCAAACTAAGAAGTAATTATGTTTTTTAAAGCTCAATGGAAATACTCAAGATCCAAACTGTAGCATATTAGGATTTGTAAGACTCAATGTGTCACAAACTGAGACTCGTATTCAATGGTTATTAAGGTTACGTGAAAATACCCAAAACATGGAGGCAATCGAATGATTATGTAATGATATTGTAGTTTAGCGGACATGTGAAGAATTCAAAACAGCCAGAGACATTTCGATTTAAAGCTTTTGTGACTGCAGGGATTCATCTTCTTGGTTCTTTCGGTAAAGTCACGTAGAAGGGAAGTAATAAAATAATAAAAATAAAACATAATAAAATAATTCTCACGACGTTTCGGCCACAACGCAATATATATGCTCCAAGCACGTGTGCTGTTTCATTCAGACGCTGTCGCCTCGACAGACCTGGTTTCACCTGAGGACGGCTGCTTGCGTTGTGGCCGAAACGTCGTGAGAATGATTTTATTAAGCCAGAAACATGTTGAGAATTCTAAAAATCGTGGGAAGAAACATCCCAAATTGACTAGAGTGGCTGTCTTGATGAAGGGTTTCTAGAAGCTCTAGGATCTCATAGCTGATGGCTCTTGTAGAGGTTCCTATATGGTATTGATTTGTTGATTTACGTCCTTAAACCAGAGGTGAGAGCCCATTCAGATTCATTACACTGGTCAACACACTTTTTCTGGCATAAGGTATTCCAACGGTTTTAAGGTAATTTTGGGGTGCTGATTCCAAATCTGGCATCAGTTTTTTTTTGAGATATCAAATATTGCATTTTCAATAAAAACTGCAGAAGAAAAATATTAAATAAATGTGGATATCTACATAAAATGATATTATAAACACACTATCCTAAAAATACAGCACCATATTTTAACACTAAAATAGTCACTGACTCGCAACAACTTGCAATTATAAGTGACAGAGTTAATTTCTGGTAAAATCAATGAAAATGGGGTATGCCGATAGCATAAAAAAGAGATGTGATAGAGCAAATCTGAGATCAGATTTGGAATCAGTACCCTGAAATTAGTCTAAAACAGCTGCAAAAGTCCAGGCCAGAATTTTTTTTTGTTGACCAGTGTTATCTTACTCACCCATGTAACCATATATTACTTAGAGACAGTTTATAAAAAAAAATCATATATATTTTAAAATAATAATTAACATGAATTATTTCCACTTCTGGGATTCGGGTTGTGGCACAAACCCCAAATCAACTGTGAATTAATATTTACAGCATGTAAAACGTGTATGAAATCTCGAAGGAAAATTCCATAATGGCCTTTCAGCTTATCACACGCACATACAGTATATAATAATACAAAAAAATGAAAATTATTTATTTGGTCAGGAAAATTGCAATGAATTCCTCTCAGATGTGTTTCCGCGTCATATTGTGTGTGTTATGACCCAAAAACAGCACAACTGCAGAAACCCTCAGCAAATCTTTAAACAAACTTGACAAGTGCGCTTTATGAAAAAAAACCCATAAAATGTAAGTGTGTTCTTACAATAAAATAATTTCCAACTTGGTTGAATAACAACCATTGAATAACATCTTTTTCTTATTTATATTATTGTTAAATGAATTTGGACAATACCCAGTCAACACATTTTCTTACTGAATTTTTTGTTTAACCGGCATGGTGGTTCAGTTCTCTTATTTACAAATTCAGACGTACAATGGCGGATGCATAATCACGAGCAGTATAAACTGTGGCGGGACTTTAAAAATTAATTTATGGGCAGACCTCTTGCAGTCGGCCGTCCTGCTCTGCACAAATTAATGGACGCAATAAAGGGAGGGAATTGGCATGCTTTTACTGCAGGTTCCTTGACTCGGAGGGGAACGCATTGGACATGTGAACTCATGATTGTTGACGCTCTCATGTGCCGATGGTCGTGGGAGTACGACAGCCAAGGGCACAGAGCCAATGCATTCCAGATGCCCTTGACTTTTCCATAAACCACTCTTTTGTTAGTTTCCTATTGTTAACATAAATTTCTGTAGACTGTTTAAGTGTGCACACAATTGGTGTATGTTACAACGAGCACGCACACTTCACGTTTGATATAGTATAAATGGTAAGAATAGTTTTCTAAAAGACAAAGGTGCATCTCTGCAATTCCTTGCTCACGTCACTGCTGGTGGAAAGGAAGGAGGCCGACCTCGAGAGAGCCTCTCCAGAGAGTACTTGGCCTACTCTTCCACGCTGGCCAGATATATCTTGGAATTGGTGGGCGTACCCATATTTTTATCTTCTCAAAAGCGGCCCGCCGATTGACTGCGATTCACCCGCTGCTCCTGCCGGCTGGACAGAGGCAGCAACAGGGAGTTAAGAAACTTTCACTGTCGTGATAATTGTTTTTTTACCCTTCTATCTGGCAACAAAACTGACACCTTTTTTTTACAAGGAGTCATGTTTGCATAGACCACAATACCTGCAGTCATAATGCAAACAAAAAAATAACTCTGATAATGTGCACTGTCCTTGAAGTTGATTGGTCCACACCCGAGACAGCTTCCTTAGAACCTAGTCTCACATGGGTTGGACCAGATGATGCCAAAAGGCGTTATGACTGCAGGTATTGTGGTCTATGCAAACATGACTCCTTGTAAAAAAGGTGTCAGTTTTGTTGCCAGATAGAAGGGTAAAAAAACAATTATCATATTATTTGTATTCTTTTTTACTGGCAAATGAGGTTCCAATGGTGTAAATGCTTTCACCGTCGTCTCAACTGCTACGCCGGGAGATCAAACCGGCAACCTCTGCATGACAACTCCAGCATGGTCACCATTACTCCACTATAGCATTCCAAGAATTATAGTTTTGTACCAGTTTTTAATTGTCTTTCCCTTATTTAGTCTGCCAAGAGTTCAAGATTTATACTTTTTGCGAGCTGAACTGGGTGTTCTTGGTTTTTGTAAGCTCGTTTAATATTTTGGTACACTTATTGTGATTGATATTCATTATGTAAACATACAAGAGCTGTCTGAGAAGGGAGACTTGATAAATTGGTTAGTGTAAAGAGTGTTTGTTGTTTATTTCACCAGGTGAGAGGTGATTGATATTCATTATTTTGGAATGAAGAGAGTTACCAAAAGAAAATCTGTGAATAGATTCCAATTTAATTGTGGGTAATAATTAAATATGAGATTTGAGAAAAGGCATCAGCACACTTGGACCTGTGAATGATGGTAAAATGGTAAAGTGCATTTAATTGGAATAATTCCTTGGGTAACTATCGAAACTGAAGTTTCACTAAATGGTAAATTCTACAATATAATGAAATGTCAGGTATCACCATGTTTAAAGATTTTGTCCAAATTGAGAAGACATGCACATTTTTTAAGCTTGAGAAATGTAGGTATTCTTTTGTATTAAGTCCTAAGAGATTATATTCCGTAAGGAGTGAGTGAGGGGTATGAGAATATATGTGATGAGGGAAAGACTACAAAATGTTTTTTGATGAAAATGAAAACACTGGGCAGGGAGAAACGTGCAAAGATGACCAGGAGAAGGACGTAAACCTCTAAGAGCAGAATAAATACATTGTAAATGCCAACCACCAGCGAGCGGGTGGTGGTTTGGGGCAATGAGGGCAGCAGCCGAGCGGCAGCAACAGGGACAGCCGCCCGCGTTGACGTGCCGCGTGCCGCCGTGCGGGTGTCCAGACTCGGGCGGCGTCTACTCGAGCTCGCCGGAGACCTCCACCGCGGCCAAGGATTCGCACGCGGCCGATGCCTCTCAGCAGCCCCACCTCATGAAGGACTTCCACTCGGTGGACTCGATGGCCGACTTCCACCAGGCGGCGCAGGGCTACGGTGGGCCGGGGGCCGACGCTTCCGCCGCCACCCACTGCTACGCCGACTACGGCGAGAGCTGGGATGGCGAGGCGGCGGGGCTGGGTGCATCGCACGCCATGACGCCGCCGGCGCCGCACGGCCACCATCACCACCACGGGCACCACCACGGGCACCACCACGGTGCCGCCGCGGCGGCGGTGCCCGGCTCCTCCGTGCCCACGTCTGCACCCACCGCCGCCTCGACTCCGGCGCCGCTGCCGCAGGTGGCGGCGGCGGTGGTGGCGGCGGCGGTGGCGGCGGCGGCGGCGTCTTCGTCGTCGTCGACGTCGCGCCGCGTGCGGGCACGCGGAAACATGGGCTCGTCATCGTCCTCGTTCGGATCGCACAGGCGCAGTGGGGGCGGGGGCAGCGGGGGCAGTGGAGGCAGCGGTAGCAGCTTGCACAGCAACAACACAAGGCGGAGGAAGAGGGACCTCGTCGTGTCGGTCAGTGGGCGCGCCGTGGTTGGCTACGTACGGTGCGAAAGAAGTTCAACACAATCAGAATATAATGGTGGAATCCAATGAACTCTAAATCTCTTTTTCCACAGATTTCCAGTAAGGAGTCAGAACGTTACAATACAAAAACACGATAGGGGTGCAAAGTATAGGAAAGGTAATCAAATCACTTCAAAATATACACAAAACTAAAGTAAATTTTACTTACTAGTAAAAGCCTACTGAGGTAATAACTTATTTTTCATAAGCGACCTTGCCACAAATTATCGCTTCACAAAGTGGCTTATGTTTACATACATGCTGCAATTACGTAGCCGGTACTGATAGTGACGAAATAAACCTCGAACAGCTACAGCACTTCATCAATTCACCGCTGGGCGAAGGCCTTTCCAAGTCCGGTCGATCATTCGGGTTGTTTCATCTTACTTCACCATGCTGGTCAGTGCAGGTTGGTGAGCCAGTGCCCAGGTTGTTAGCCGTGGCTAGGAATTTAACTCGGGTGAGCAGGTTGTTAGTGCAGTGTAATAATCACTGTAGCTGCACACCAGTGTCATATTATAACTCACTTTGTAGCATGTACTAAATGTTTTTTTTTTTACTTCGTGTGGCCTGATACATTTTTATAGCACTGTTCAATTTGAAAAAAAAAAGTGATCTTGTTAGCAATGAGTTCATACAAGGACTGCAGGACATCCAGTGCACATGGATTACGTTAGAAGGCTGTGTCAACATATTGCAGTGCACTCTCGCTTGGCTGTCATTTTTATCAGACTGATATATTTTGAGACTTTATAATGAGGACATATGATCCAGGATGAAAAAACACAAAGTGGGAATGTTCTAACAGTGTTTACCATAAAGGCGTGTTATTTATTTTCATGTTAAATCAACTTCATATTTGTTAACGTGTAAGCAGTTTTAAAACTAATCACGTAATCATAATAATTTTTAAACCTTGAAATGAGTAATCATGGAATAATTTTTTTCAAGTGACCCAACACTAGAAATGGTGGTGGTCTCGGTGCCTCTTATATAGGAAATAAAATTCAAAAGTCGAGAGTTTTTCTTCGATCCATCGAATGGCGGGCGAAGACGGTATCGACAGCACGCTTCCTTGAGTCGCGAACGTTTTTGACTTTTGTGTTGACTTTCGTTTCTACCTGGTTGGGTCAATGTTCATGCAGTGCCTCTGCTGCTGCTGCTGTTTGTTCCACAGAAACTGGTTCATCGGATCCACAACCAGCAAGGCAACGACCGGAGGTTTAACGGGGCCGAAGGGTGAGTTTTTACCAGCGGTCGCAACTTAAAGGATACACGAGTTCAGAAAAAGTACTACTTGGTGAAGTAAAAATTACGCGTGTCTCATTGTACAGATTTATGTGAAGTGTGTTGACCCCCGGTAGTGCTCGGATTGGTCACCGCCATGCATAATAGGTGTTATAGGCCACTGGGCTATGTGGTGGGTAGGAGAGGGAAATGCAGCAATGCATTTGTTTGCAGTACCTCTACGCTCTCCACGTCGGCTACACACCTTCACCAACCCCCACTGACCACCGTGGTGAAATATGGTTGTAAAATCCCAAAGCAATGGACTGCAAAGGGGTGTATTCATATGTCATGAAGAAGCAACCACGAAAAAGCAATACCTGTGTGTTCCAGGCTGTCTGACCTATAGAGAGAGGTTGAAGGCTTTGGTAATGTAAAACAAAGTTTCGAAAGTGACTTTCATAAGTGTTGACTTAACACTCTAATAACATCACGTGAGCGTGACTGCTTTGCTTTTTCATAAAGTGTCACTGCATTTAGCCACTGGAGCCAGGTGATAGCATGGCCTGGAAGGTCAATTTACAATCGAGTCTTCTCATTTATGTGTTTAGCTCCGATTAGCTCAGTTGGCTAAGTACGGTGGCGAAAGAAGTTCAACATACATACATTATCGGAACGTTAATCCCATGCGAGACAGAATGGGACACACAACCAGGTCTGTATCTACAAGATAAAGAATAATTTGGTTTTTGGAATTCATTTTCCTTAAGGTATAGTGATACTCCCGAAGCTGAGCACAGTAAATCTCTCTTATAATGACAAGGATTAGCACTAATACTGGGCTTGAGTTGTATGTTTACACATGCAAATACAGACCCACCCAATTACTCATTGCTCATTGGGGTGGCACTAAGATGACCAGTCTTTGCAGTTCTGCATGTGCACATGTATTCCTTAAACGAGCAAGCTATACACCTTTTTTATTGTTATGAAAATTGATGTGCTGTTATGAGCCACAAACTTGCATCAAATTGCATTGTTGCTTTATCAAAGTTTTAGGCATCATTTAATGTGAACAATTTCGTTAAGGGAAGTTTTTTTTGTATGGGAGGAAAACCGGAGGAAGAAAACTTCCAAGTATATGAGTGGACAGCGATCACAGCTTGGCTCACAACTCTATTGCTCTACTGCCATTTTTATGCCACCTTGCATTCCAGCATGTTTGAAAGTTTGACAACCTTGTGTGTTCGATCAATCCTTGCCTCCAGGGTGCTGGATTACAGGCGCGCACGTCCATATGTAAGGTGGGGCTGGGTTCGTGGATGACCACAGTTGGGGTTCCACAAAGTGATAATACAATTGTTTTACTCTGGAAGGTATGAAGGCCTGAGTTTACCCTCAATTGGAATTGAAACTTGCAACCTATTTTAAAAAGAGACACACTGTACCAACGGTGCTGTTTGGCCAGATATTTTAAGTCTTAGGTCCACAACATTATATACCAAGGAATTAGTATACAATCCCAAGCATAATTTTCATGATTAAGTGTCTTACAAATTCCTGTGTCGCTGGATAAATATCTGATATAAACATACATTGCTAGATGTTATAATAGCATTTAAAAATCAACAATGTGTGCTTAAACAGTGAGCAGGCACACACACATTGACTGGTGTGCATGCGTTGAATGGTTTTATTATTGCACGGTGTTCACCTTACATTACTGCATTCCCCGTAATTTAAAATATTACTAAAAACTTTTGGCCTATGTCGGAATCACCATGCACTCTTCTCGGACAGAGTGCAGTGTCATTGGAGTAGTTTCCCTTTATAAAGAGCAGTAAGGAGTTAAGATGCACGAGATATTCAGCCATTCTCCATGGCATTCAGATGCAACAACTGATGTACCTCTTCTTGGTTCTTTCGGTAAAGTCACGTAGTAGGGAAGTAATAAAATAAAACATAATAAAACAATTCTCACGATGTTTCGGCCACAACGCAAGCAGCCGAAACGTCGTGAGAATTGTTTTATTATGTTTTATTTTTATTAATTTATTACTTCCCTACTACGTGACTTTACCGAAAGAACCAAGAAGATGAATCCCTGCAGTCACGAAAGCTTTAAATCAAAACTGATGTACCTGTTTCATTCACGTAGCCAGTTTTCTCGTATTGCTACAGTGGAAGACCCATAACTCGTCAACTAATCTCGTTCATAATTTCTCAATTAAGTCCTAGGGGTAGCCAGATGCAGCTCGCAAGTGTCACAACTAATACGTGTAAAACACGTCTAGTTTTTAAAATTAAATTCCATTTTTCACGTTTTTCTTTTTTCTTGCTTAATTTCTCTGCAGCCACGAGTGTTAGAAATATTTAGTCAGGACCGTTGCATAAAAACCCTGCTGCTGGTGCAACACGAGCAAGGACTGCAATCGAGGCTGTCGTGTGTGCTGTCATGTGTGCTGTTGTGTGCTGCAGACTCAAGTCTGGCTGGAACATCACTGTGATGCGGTACTTGCTGGAGAGACTACGGGAAGAGCTGGCAGACCAACACTACACGGAGAAGGAGTTGAAAGGTGAGGCGTAGTGTTCACTGATGGCATGCGTCGGTTACTGAAGCTGGAAAGCCGAGATGGTTGATAGTACTCTTTTCTGGCTTCCGTGAGCCGAGCGATTTAAATTAAGTTCTGTTTGGCAGTGTTATGAGATGTGTTGTTATGCCATTTTAATTAGTAAAGAGTTTAAATTCAACCTCATCCCAAGACTCGACAGTTTAACTGGATTTATAGCGGATGTGTCGGCGGAAACTCCATTGAAAGGGGTAAATGAGAGAGCATGTATGGAAGTAGAAAAGAGAAAGAAGAAAATGGCTATTGTTTAGTAATAATGGCATAGAAGCAGTGACAGACTCGGACTAAAATGGGTCCAGGCATTTGTAAACACACCAGCCCAAATTCTGGCTGTGAAGTAGCTAGATTTGCGATGTGACGTATGATCGTGATTTTGGCGTGCGATCTCATTGGTCCATTTGGGCTGGTCCAAAAAAAAAATGGGCCAGTGAGGAAGAATCTTTGTGGCTGCCAAATATGGGACTTAATGCCAACTGAGAGTGTAAATAAGCAATGAAGTGTACACATTCGAGATAATAAAATGTTTAAATAAATAAGAAATCATATTTTCTTTACTCTGATCACATTTGCAATTTCCCCACACAGACCGGCCCTCGGAATGAACCGGCCCACGGGCATTTGCCCTGACTGCCCTATGGCCAGTCCGGGCTGCATAGAAAACATGGAGGAAGGCAGGAAATTCTTAGTGGAGGAGAAAGAGGAGAATCCAACACCTGGATTTAAATAGGAGTGACAGTGTGAACTCTAGATAGCTGAGGGGATGGAGTTTCAGACAAGAGGGGCAGCAGAGCAGTGGCGACCTCCCATTAAGAGGAGGTTGACTGGGTGTAAAGACAGGGGAGGGCTTGGTTGTGGGAGTTTAAGGCATGAGGTCACTAGAGTGAGATGAGAGGAGAAGAGAGGTATTTTAGTCAGATACCGGAAAGTATTTGAAGAGAACATTCGGCACGTGTGAAGTTGCGATTGAGCTGCCACCTGATATGCGACCTAATCGAGTTGTTCTTAAATGATTGCCGTAGTGATTACACCTCTTACTCGAGGTGTAATCACTACGAGCAACCCGAAAGTAACACAATGGGGCACTTGATTTCTCTCGCGGTTTCATCGGTTAGACTTCGGTGCCACGTTCAGCTACGCGTGTGCGAGGTGCAGTAACATCGACGCGTGAGAAACCCAATCTAACCGTTTGCGTGCCTTGAAATCCGACAGGTGCATGCGTGTCGTACTTCTTGACCAAGAGGCGCGAGTACCGCAACTCCCAAAACCCGGACCGGAGCCTGCGGGAAAGGGAGGAGAAGAAGCTGAGAAGCCGGCGATATCGGGTAGGAGAGCCCCCAGGCATTGTGTGCGCGAAAACGGGGCAGACGGGTTCCGCGCCCGCCTTGGCTCGCAGATGTTGTGTACATAGCGGAATTATATTTCATGTTTATACAGTGTCCTTTTGTTGGACAACCACTCCAAACTGCATTACAATAATAAAGCGTGAGGATTTTCATTTCTTGAATGCTTAAATCCAAAGCACTTTGCAATACAAACAGGAAATACAATAATTGCAGATTTGTGCTGCATGTATGGCTCATCTGCCTTTGTTTTGGATTTTGTAGTAATAATTCCTTGTCAGTGAATGTGACGGAAAGTTAATTGTTTCCTATTGGTGGGTACGTTGAGGCTAATAAACAACGAAACGCAGTGCATGGCTGGGATATGGCTCGGCTGTTGGTTGAGTAGAAGTGCCACTAATATAGTTTCAGTTAAAATCCCAGTAAAGCTCAATTAGGTCTCATCATCGCCATCCATTGTCAATCCGTGGTTCATCCAACATGAGCATCACGCGGTGAGGCTGCACAACTTGGTAGGAAGTGAACAGCGATTTGACCTGGAATAATATATATTTTTTAAAAACTTTTTTAAAAACACGCTTTTATGAAATGTACTAAAAAGTAAAAAAAAATTAAGTTCAAGTACTTTGCATTATATATGTTTAATATACTGTTATTGTAACTGACTAAAAATAAAAGTGTGGGACATAACGTAAGGGACCGTGGGCAATTACAGCCAACGTTAGTTGACCGTGGACAATTAGACCCAAGCCGAAACATAACATATAAAACATAACGTTTAAAAATATATATTTATAGTATTGTCATCAGTATGACATAAGTATACCAAGTTTGCAGTCGATACCACATTGGGAAGTGGGTTAAAATTGGTCCCTTTCATAGGAATGTGGCATTTCCACCAATGGCTAAGCGTGACCAACATAAGTCAGCACCCCCTATTGCTTGTTAGGTCACTGGAACACTAACAATAACCACTGTGGTGTTGTGGTTATTGAACCGTTGTATGGTTACGGTGACTCAGTTCATGGCCATGTACTACATCAGCATGGGCATTATCAGGAACACCTGAGCAGTTAACCCTGCGTAATGCAGTCCCTCCAGAAAAACGCGATTATGCGATCGCAAGATTCCACGCAAAATCAGCCAAAGTCCGCATATTTATGCGGGGGGCGCGTTTTTTCAAATACGCCGCACTTTTGCCGCATAAATTGCAGATTTCCGCGCGCAAAATATGCGGGCTTGCATGATTTCATAATCCCCGCATTTTCGTTGGAAAAAGTCACATATATCTTAGCAGAAAGTTGAAAAATGTGCGTTTACTTCACACAAGCGCAGCCATTTCCCCTGTTGCCATGGAACGTTATGAAGTGTTAGAGGCTACGTAGTTAGTTTTATTCAGGAGTTTATGCAACTTTACAGTTGTAAGATTGCACTTTTTTGTTAGTAGTATGTAAATTTACATTACTGTAAGACTGTACTGTTACTGTTATTGCTTACGTTACTGTGCACTGAAAACACTTATTTTAACAGAAGATGTCTGTTTTGTATAGCTACCTCTGTAAAACAGGAAGCACACATTTTATTTTTTACTATTTTATTTATTCATTTTTACAGAAGTTGTAGCATATTCATTTTGTAAAGCTACAGAACTTGTTCGACTCAATGTTTAGTAAGTTTGAGCCATCTGTTGTTAAGGTCTGAAATAAAACAAGATGAGAACTTAAATATTCCCAGCACTTTCTGTGATGTAGTATGCTTGCTTATCATAGGAAGTAAGAAGAAATGACTCTTTACATTAAAGTAGTAGCCTAGTGAATAGGGTGTTGGAGGAATCACTTTTTTTTCTCTTTTTTTCATCAAACCGCAGTTTTTGCAAGTTCCCGCAATTTAATCGCGTAAAATTGCATAAATATTCCGCATATTCCATCGCATTTTTTAAGAAAACGTGCCGCATAATCAACGATTTTTGCCCGCAACAATCACCAAAAAACTCCGCGTTTTTCTGGAGGGACTGGTAATGGCGCATGGCCTGGCAGGATTTCAAGGTCGAATGATTGGCTTTTGAAACGTCCGGAGATTAAATTACCATGGTTGAAGACTCAACTTCGTGGTCAGATATTTCCATGCCATTATTTCTTCGTGCTTGATAACAGACAGTAAGACTAAGCTGTTGATCTCTGTATGCGTGTATACACTCTCCATTGTGTTTGCGTGTCAGGTTAATAAGTGTTGGAGCTTGGCATCTGTGCACTTCTCTTTCAGACTCAGAAGGACTTACATTCTTTTCGGTTGTGACTTTCACAAGGGCACACCTGCTCAATAGGTGACTGTGTCAACAAAAAATGTCATGGTTCACATCCTGCGTCTGAATCCGAGTGTTGCAATTCCAGTAATGTGTACAGTGCTAGGCACGTAACAAGTATAGTGGATGAACTGTCAAAATGTTAATTGTGTTTTATGTACTTGTATGACTTTGTGTGTGTGTGTGTTTCACTGGTTAGCATAATATGCTGCTATCGCCAGTCATCTAGGTTCATTTCTAGGTCACACAAATACAGTTGTGGGAATTGTTCTCCTAATCAAAGCCATCCTTTCCTAGGATGACTCATCACAAAGTTAGTATCCGCTGGTGATATGTCATCACTGACATGTTCCAGACCAAGGGCGGATGGCGTTTGTGGTGTTGGTCACACCACTCCACCATGTGCAAGTGCCGATCTTAAAAGTTCTTCGCTCATAGCAATAGACACAGGCAGTCTGCCCAAGATGAAAAGGAGGGTTTTTTTTATAATATGTCAAATATGCCAGATATGTTTGTAACGTTTGTTGTTCATGGTTGGGACAAGTTGCTGTGTTGTTGACACAGTGTGCTAAAAACCCTGCTGACCTGTGGCTGCACACCAGTGCGAACTGAAGCATGCACAGTGCGTGCCTTGCATTGGCCTTCCCAGGTCACATTGACCTGAACGGAGCAGCTTGTGCTGTGCATTATCTTATTTCTTTGTTTTCTTCAACAGCAGTGATAAGCGGACACATGCTGGAGGCAGGGGGGTTCTTGCCACACGACAGCCTTGCATCCTTTGCTGGCCTTAATAGACAACAGACATTGGCAATAATACTAACACAGTGAGACCCTTGCTTAGCGCTCAAGATGCATTCCTGGGGAAGTGAGTGCTAATCGAATCAGCTTTAAAAGGGGTCATTATGTCTTTCGTATGAGCAATATAGGACGGCTTCATTGGGGGATTAGTAATTTATCCAATAATTCAGATTAAACATTTAATAACTAAAACAATGTATCGAATAACAACAGTAAGTATTATGTACTATGGTCACGAGTGCATTCTATTGTACTCCTACATGGCAGCGGTGGGAGACGAGGTTGGATGAGCTGCTCTGCTTCCAATCCGGGTCACTCTCAGAGAGAAGCTCCAGGACTTCTGCGATCTTAATGATGCCCTCAGTCTAAATTTCTGTGGTGAGGTTTCTTTTAGGTGAAGCCTGAAACTCTTATCCTGGTCTCGTGAGTTCTTACCTGGCTAAACAATTACTGTACTGTAATAACGGGTCGGCCATAGATACTCTTTTTCTTAGCAAGTGCATGCTTCCATCACGGCATTCACAGGTGATGTGGCAGATGTTGTAAGCCAACTTCAGTGGGTGTGGTAATTAAAAACGGACAACATTACCAAGAAGCGTTACGTAAAAATACCGACAGAGTAGTTTTAGTTTTGTTTGGTAACCTGGCAGTTAAGTGTGGAACAAAATGTGAAAAAGTGTGAAAAGACGAATGGAGAGGTACATCCTTGGAATTAGGCAGGAAGAGGACCTCAGAAAAAATTGCAAGTTAGAGACTTCATATTGACTGTGAAGAAAAACAAGCGGGCTTGCGTACGACAGGATGACTATTGGTCCAGACTAACGTCAGAGTAGCAGCCAAAGGAGATAAAATGAGAGTACATCCACCATGAAGATGGGGCGATTAAATGAGCTCATGTGCAGGAGCTAGATTGCCGTATCACGAGACTGAGAGATGGCGACGGCTTGGGGAGATCTTCATCTAGCAGTGAATAGAACATGGCTTCTTTTATCTTTTTTTAAAGCATCACCCCACTTGCGGCATGTTGTTCATGTTATTCTATCACTGTCTTTGCCGCTTGCGTGGGGAACTCACAGCTCTTCGAAACCGCACGTCAACGGTGAAGCTGTTCCCACCGGAGGACCAGCAGCTGTGGGCCGGCGTGACGGAGGAGCTCATGTCGGACGAGGAGGACAGCGCCGTGGAGCCCGGCGTGTGGGTGGCGCGGCCCCCTCGCTTCCGCACGCCGGCGCTCACCGACCTTTGCCGGCGGCTGGACGCGGCGTCGCGTCACGGCGCCAAGCCCAACCGCGTGCTGGGCCCGCCGTCGGAGCGTGCCGCGTCGCACGAGGCCTACCGCCTGGCGCCGCACCTGGTGTGCCTGGACGACACGCTGCCGCCGGGCCCCCGTCATCGACCAGCACGGCGTCATCTCGTTCCCTCTCAGCGACGACCCTTCGGAGCTGTGCGACGACGACCCGGACGGCGCCCACGGCTACGGCGACGAGGAGCAGCACGGGGACCCCCATGACGACGGCATGGAAGTCAAGGAGGAGAGGGACCTGTCGGAGCATGCTGACCGACCGTGCGCGCTGTGAGCCGCGGGAGTGGAGAGCGAACGGAGAGGAAAAGGCGCCCCCCCGCTAGTCCATTGGAGCGAGTGGCAAAAACTGTTCGGGGTCGGAGCTTTCGAGCCAACCAGGCACTCGTGTTCCAGAGCTATTCCTAACCCTAACTAATCAACCAAACACTAGCCACAATGCTCACTCTCCTTCGAACTCAAACCAATAGGGATATAACGATTTATTGATTCGTCGATTAAAATATTTTATTTTCAAGAGAGTTTACCGAATCGTGAGCATAACAATTCACTGTTTGCGATTAACATATCTCGTGTGTGATTGGTTCATGGAAACCCTGCCGTGTACCACGCTGGCAAAAAAAACGATTGGCAATTAAAATATATTGCCCTAATTGTCCAACATTCATCATCGGTGAGGGGGCGAATCATTACATCCCTACAAAATAGTCAACTAGCGCTAGCCCAACCCTCGACTCGTAACACTAACTCTCTCGCCGGCAGTGGTCGTCACTAGGCCTCCATTCGCATTTCTGCTTGCGTTTCACCGTCGGTGATCACAGCACCCGATTGGCTGCCTTGCTGGACTGTGCTGCTCCGTTTAAAACGTCGGGTTTTCTTGCCGCCCCAACTCACCGACCACGCGGCCCTGTGGGAAGAGCACTGAACTCGCAGTCGGCAAATCACGACTTCATATCTTGCTTGGTCGGGGCTCTCGATTCAGCCCACCCGCATCACTATCGTCCCTCCAGGGATGATAACAAAAAAAATGGTACTAC